CCCAGCCACACAGAACCCTGCCGCCCCTGGCCTCCACACATCACACATCTCACTCCGGCGACTCTCACGGGCCACCTGCTCACTGCCACGCCATCAACCATCACCCGCACGCGGAGTGCCCTCATCCTCTTCTCACCTCTGCCTCTCGCCAGCCCCCCACCACCACCCCCTCCCGCCCGGCAAGTGGCTGAGACCATGCTCAGCTCTGATGGCATGCGAGTGGTGAGGTCAATCCCATCCTTGCCCACTGTGTGCCTTGCAGTCAGCTAGGGAAGCAGGTGATGGGCAAGCACTCATGCTGGGGCCTGGTGAAGAGGGCTGTGAGCCTGCACAGCAGGGGGAGCCACCTGGGCCAGGGTCAGGGTCAGGGACAGGAACAGCTCCCAGAGGGAGCACAAGTCAGCCAGGAACAGAGGAGTGGGGCCTGAGGGATCCACCTCCTTCATAGTGTTCCCTCTCCCTCCTTGCTCCCCCACCCCGCCCCCGGCACCTCAGGTGCTTTGGTTTACACCCCAAACAATGGTGTCAGGGGGAGGCACCCGTTTTACACTCACCTCTCCACACATCTGTGTCTCCCCTGGCCTGTGGCATTCTCAGGGACAGAGGACTGATCTTACTCCATTGAATGTCATGGTATCTGAAGTACCATGTCTGGATACTGAAAGTGGTTAATAACTCATCCAGCAGCTAACTGGAGGTTAAGTCCACCCAGAGGCGCATTTGAAGACAGACCTGGTGATCTACTTCCCAAAACATAATCCCTGAAAACCCTGTGGAACACAGCTCCACCTGAGTCAAAATCAACTCAATGGCCAATGGGTACCTGAGTCAAAGTCAACTCAAAGTCAAAGTCAACTCAGTGGCCAATGGGTACCTGAGGCCCAGAGTCAAAGTCAACTCAATGGCCAATGGGTACCTGAGGCCCAGCAGGCCCTTCACAGAGGTGTGTGCACTGGGCCAGGGGGCCTAGCCTCTCCCAAGCAGTCCTCAGAACCTCCAGGGACTCACCCACACACACAAGAGCGCCTGCCCTGGGTCTGCCTCCCGTGTGACTTGAGGACATAAATGAACTTCTTGGAGTCTGTAAAGCAGAAGAGTTGGACAAAGGCAGGTTGACATACTATGTCCTCTAGAGTCTAAGGGACTGGTGGTGGATTTCCTGTAGCCCGAGAAAATCAGGGTCGTGAATAACCTCTTCGCTTTATTTCTATATTGATAGGCTTTTCTTAAGCCTTCAACACCTCCCAAATGGCACACAGTATCCTACTTGGCACTAAGTTTCCCAGGCATTTTAGTTTCCTGCTAACTGTCAAAGTGGCAGTTTGCCCCGCCCCAGACAGCCTTGGCTATTCCCTGGGCAGTCTCGCCTTCCAGTGGCATTCCTCCCTAATAGCTATCTGAACCCTGCTTCTACCCCTCACAAGCAGCCCGTTTCATCTGGGGCGAGACCAACACCTCACTTTTCAGAGCAAATCAAGGTCCACACAGCTGGGCCCCCAGAAGCAGTGCCATGTCTGGAACTCCGTCTCCTGATACCACACACGCGTCCCACTGTCCTGCCACCAGCTAAGGAAGAGGGCTCATCAGCCCTCCCAGAGGACTCAGCGCCACTCCCTCCACCTCCTCTCAGACTCACCACAGACTGACACCACAGGGGTCAGTCCCTCAGCCAGCCCGAGCTGCCTCTGATGCTGGAGCCCATAATCAGCACAAGTCCCTGGAGCCTCTGAGCCTTCCCCAGGCCAGGGAGCACCCAGACACCACGCTGAGCAGGCAGAGCCACAGGTGGACCACACGTAAAGAGCTGGAAAGCGTGAGTGCGGCAGGCTGGCAAAGCTCCCAGACAGAGCATAGCCCCTGGGAACAGAGAAGACCCCCTATTCCCAGCCTGGCAAGCACCAGGGACAGGCCCCTAGGTGTGCCCACCTGAAGGAACATCGTCACGAGTGCCCATGCCCCAGGTGGAAAGGGTGCCTGGGAGGTCGTCCAGAGGGGGCGGCAGCTCCTTGATGGTCTGGGGTACAGTCCTCAGGAGTCCAGAGGGATCCAAGCTGGAACATCCAGGGGCCTGTGGTGGAGCAAGCAGAGGGCCATGGAAAAAGCAAATAAACATGTTCAGCACTGACTGCTTCAGTCTTTGGTCTTGAAGCCTGAAGAGGAAGGGATGGGTGGGTCATGGTGCTGGCGAAGACAGTGGAAAGCACCGTGGACTGTCCGTCCTCGAAGAATGACAGCCATAATGCTTCTGAGAAGGAAGGACAGTAAGACTTCATCTCATGTACTTTGGACATGTTGTCAGGAGAGACCAGTCCCTGGAGAAGGACATCCTGCTCGGTGAAGTAGAGGGGCAGTGGAAGAGGAAGACCCTGGACGAGATGGAGGGACACACTGGCTGAAACAGCAGGCTCAGACATAACAGAACCAGGCAATGCTTCATTCTGTTTTCCACAGGCTCGTTGTGAGTCGGAGCTGATGCCACAGCACCTACCCATAGCGCACTGCCTCACTGGCAAGCCTGGGTGATGCCAACAGTTGGGCAACTTGGCTGAGAGCCAAGAGGTGGGTGTAAGATAAGCCAGGGTGCCTCAGAAGAAAGGCCCGCTGACATACTTCCAGGAAATCAGCCACTGAAAATCCTTCGGAGCACAGCTCTACTCTGACACGCATGGGAGAGCCATGCATTGCAGAGCACAGCTCTACTCTAACACGCATGGGAGCAGCCGTGCATTGGAATTGACGCAATGGCAACTGGGTTGTCTTTCTTCATCGATAGACTGCTTCACAGCATGGCCGCTGGGAGCTAAAGCATTCTTACAGCCAGGAGATCTGCCACTGGACCCAACGGCACTCCCTTTGCTTGACATTGTGACTCTCAGGTGCTGCAGTGTCTCAGCGCCAGCCTGCTTGGGTCAAGCAAGAGTTCATCAGGAAGCACATCAAAGAAAGCTAGCCACCTGCCTTCACTTTGACATGGATACCTAGCCTGGACTCTGACACTCTGTTTCTCCATCAGTTTCTATGTACTTCAACACCTATTACTCTCAACGGAAGTGCCCATCACCACCCAATGAAATTCTAGTCATCCAGAATTATCAAGGGTATATGAGGGAGGGAGGGAGGAAGAGAGGGAAGGAGGAGGAGGAGGAGGGAGGGGGGAAATGAGGAGCTGAAGCAAAGAGCTCAAGTAGAAAGAAAATGCTTTGAAAACAATGATGGCAGCATATGCATGGATGTGCTTGACACAATGGATGTATGTGTAGATTGTGATATGTGTTATACGAGTCCCCAATAAAATGATTTTAAAAAGAAGATCACCCACGAAGGATCCTTTGGGGGAAATCTTGAATGATGCAGAAAGATGGAAAGAATATTCAGAGCCTCTGGACCAAAAAGAATGGCTCGATGATCAAGAACAGAAGGTGTTACAGGAAGAAATCAAAGCTTCTCAAAAGCATCAGTGAACAACAAACCTCCAGGAATGGATGGAATATCAATGGAAATGTTTCAACAAGTTGAGAAAGCACTGAAAGCACTCGCTCATCTATGCCAACAAATTTGAAAGAAAGACAGACAGCTACCTGGCCAATGATGTGGCAGATATTCATATCTGTGACCATTCTGAAGAAAGGTGACCCAACAGTAGGTGTGAACTATCAAACAATATCATTACTATCATATGCGAGTGAACTATTGCTGAAGGTCAATTAAAAATAAAAGCAGCGGTACATTGATAGGGAAGCTACCAGATAGTCAAGACGGGTTCAGAAGAGGAGGTGGCATGAGGGGTATCATTGCCGACATGAGATGAATCTTGGCTGAACACAGAGATTTCCAGGAAGATGTTTACTTGGAGTGTATTGAGCATGCAAAGACATTTGACTATGTGGATCATAACCAACTATGTAGATCATACCACATATTAAAAAGGAATGGGAATCCCAGAACACTTCATTGTGCTCAAGCAGAACCTGCCCATGGTCCAAGATGCAGTCGTTCTAACAGACCAAGGGAATGCTGTATGGTTTCAAATCAGGAAAGGTACGGGTCATGATTGTGTCTTCTCACCATACCTATTCAATCTGTCTGCTGAGTAAGTAATCCAGGAAGCCGGGCTCTATGAAGAAGGTGCAGTATCAGAGTTGGAGGAAGGCTTAGTAACCTATGATGTGTAGATAGCACAAACCTGCATGCTGACAGCAAGGAGGGCTGAAAGCTCTCACTGATGAACATTTCACTCAATGATGTCAACTGCAATTCAATGTGAAGAACACCAAAGTGCCCACAACTGGAAAAATAAACAGCATCATGGTAAGTGGAGGGACAGACTGAAGTTTCCAAGAATTTCATTTTGCTTGGACTCACAACCCATGCTCAAGGAAGCAGCACAGCAGTCAAGAAACCGAACAATGTATCTCACAGGGTGAATCTGCTGCCCAACACCTCTTGAAAGCATCCCTTTGAGGTCTACAACGTGCCTGACACAAGCCATGGTGTTTTCAATCACTTCATATACATGTCAAGGTCGGATGACAACTACGGAAGTGTGGAGATGAATCAATGTATCTGAATGACGGTATGGGCGCAGACAATTGAAAGTACGTTGGACTGCCAGGAGAGAAGGAATAAAACTGACTCAGAAGAAATAGAGCAAGAAGACTCATTAGAAGTGAGGGTGGAGACACCTTGTCTCACATGCTTTGGACATGTTATGCAGAGAGATAAGTCCCTGGGAACGGGCCTGATGCTTGCTGAAGTAGAGGGTCACTGTCGATGAGATGAATTGATCACAGGAGCTGCAACAGTTGTGAGGATGGCATTGAACCAGGCAATGGTTCCTGTTTTCTCTTTCACCTGGGACGCTGTGAATCCGAGCTGACACCATACCACCTAACTGCAACAGCAAGCATCGCGGTGACAAAGAGTACTGATGGCTATCAGGGATGGGAGAGGGATATGGCTTTTGCTTCGTGGACGCTGAGTTGATGCTAATTCAGACAAGGAGAATGGACATTGTTGTACACATGAAGTATGCCATCAACATCAGTGGGCTGTATTCACAGAAAGCATCACTTAGAAGACCATCAAGTCTACCCCCCTGCCAGCTCCCTGAAAGATTAGGATAGCAAGCATGCTTTGTACCTGGCTCTCACGTGGGTGTTTGGTGGGATCTCCCTGGAAAGCAGGTTTCTTTCAGGAAGTGCCTGTCTCTGGGTAAAGGTCTTGACCCTCATTCTCCATTCACAGAACCAGCCAAGCCTCTAAGCTTCCCGGAATCTCACTTCCCTGGGACTGACCTCTGGACCATGTCCAGGCTCTTCCTCGCCCCCATTCTACATGGAGGGTCAGTCATCAGCCCTTGCCCTTGACTTGGCTTCCTTTTCTTTCCAGAGGACAAACTCTGAGATCTTGGCTGAAACACTGGTCCAGTTTCCGTGTGACAGGCAAGGGGGAGGGGAGGAGGGCAGCCAGAGCTATTCGGTGATAAAAGCGGGGTTCCAGCCCATGTCTCCCCACTTCTCCTCCAGAGCGTCATCGCTTTCTTCAGCTATCGCCTGGGGACATGACAAGATGCACTGCCAACTCCCTTTCGCTAAGCAACCAGTGCCAACTCAGGAACTGAGAAAACATGTCCTCCATCTGGAAGCCAGCCTGCCGCGGTCCCCACCCAGGTCCCAAAAGGCCAAACAGCTCTTAGCAACCCTCTGGCCAAACAGAGGTCCCAGCCCAGCCCGGTCACTAGCCCCAGCTCGGTCCTCTTCTGGCCTCACAGCTCAGGGCTGCCAGCCCCCTGTCTTTTCTCTATCTCAGGGACATTCCCTCACGATCAGGGGTATCGGGCCTAGTGAGGACTGAAATCAAAGCAATTTTGCCACATGGCGCTAAGCAGCAGCTGCGAATGTCTATGAGTCATAGCACTTCTCCGGAGCCGGCCATGTCTACTCCCCAGGCAGGCACCCACTCTGACCCGGAGTGCCCTGAGCTGGAGGGGAGACTCAAGAGCCCAACAGAACCCAGCGGTCATGTTCCAGGTCCAGGGCGGCCTTCTACAGCTGAATTGTCACAAAGAGACAATTGGTCTCTTTGACAGAGAGAGTGGTCGGCCCCGGGGAAGATAGGCTAACTCGGCACCTTATGTGCGGAAAACAAATGTGGAGTGGTAGCCCGTGGACGGTGGATCAGAGTCACCTGGGAACCTGGGAACCGATGGAAATGGCAGATTCCAGCACACGACGCCAGACCTATGGCGTCAGCATCTTCTAGCGAGCAGGTCGTGATGTCCCTGAGGAGCACAGAAGGTTCAACAAAGGCTCAGAAGAGTTGGCGGGTGGAGTCCACCTCTTCTGGGCTCACAGCTCAGGGCCACCAGCCCCCTGGCTTCTCTCTCTTGAGTCTCCCCTCCAGCACGCTTCTGCTCGGATGTACACGGCGGCTCCCTGAACGTCAACTCGGTGGGAGTTGTTTGCCGGGAGGAGCAGGCCACTGGAAACACTCATCTGGTTTTGCTCTGAACTCCTACGGGTGTCCGACATTCATGCAGGATGGAGAACCACAGGGTTATCATTTCGGTTTACTTGATCACAAGATCTCAGCTCTGTGTCCTCCCTGTGAATGCGGTTGTCGCTGCCTCGATCCGTGTCCCCAGAGGAGACATGCAGCTGCCTAAGGGTCTGGAGAGCATACTATTCTGTAGCCACCTCTGCGGAAAAGGGCCTCCGAACAAGACTGCCCCCACCGCTACCCCACCCACTTCTGAATGGCAATGGACCACCCCGGGGGACACCAGAGGCTCAGAGAAGAAATCGCTCCATAGCTCCTCAAGGCATCCCATCCATCCCATCCGGCAGGGCCCCTTCAGGCCCCTAAGGGCCTGCAGAGCAGGACTGTGGAGGTGATAACCCGCAGAGAGGGGACCCAAGCTGTTTCTGGGCAGGCAATCAGGTCTTATGAGTGAGCAGAGATGGCCTCTCCTGCCCCAGAAAAATCACTTAAGCTCCCGGAAATTGAAAGGCTCGTGTGCCAACGCTAACACCAGAGTCAGAAATTCACGAGCAAATGTGGGCAAAACAT